CTTACTTTAAATTGTTGATAGAATAATTGACCTAACAATTGTTTATTTTTCAAACACGAATGAAATATAATAGACAAGTACCTACCTAAAGTTATTTTTTTATTTAAAGAAAAACAATCTGTGGCAACTAAGGTCATTGGACACAATATTACATTTGAACTATTATAATATATTATACATTACAATAACAGAATAGTTCTTTCTTTGAATAATAAATTATTTTCAAGTTGCAAGTATCACAGAAATTTTAGTTAATCTTTCTTGAACTGTCAAATAAATAAAATAAATTTTCTGAAAATGTATATTTTAATTGTGTTTTTTTTTTTTGACAATTGCGTTTAAAACTTACATGTAGTATTTAATTTTGAGATTATATTCATACGATTTAAAAAATGTGGTTAGATTTTTGAAAATTTAAAATTATTGCAGTTTTTAATGGGGTTATTACTTAGGTACCTCGTCATTTTGATGAGAAATCAGTGGTGAGTTTAAAAACTTAACATTTTAATACATATATTTTTATAGTTGGTAAAATATTATAATTAGTTTTTTACTATCTCAGAATTTGGTAGCTGTTTTCACTCGTTATCACTCGATTATTAAATTAGGAAARCTATCAAAACTTAAGTTCTCTTATCCAGAATATAATCATTTTTAAAATTGAATGGTATATCGGTGGTGGCAAGGTTATAATAACTTATCTGTCATTAAACAATAGTTTTAAATGATAATTTAATAGTTTATTAACTATCCAAACGTTACTACATTAGCAGTCCATCTCACTAAAAAATGTATGTTTGACTTAATAAATAAAAATWAATAAAAACGTGTGTATCATTAAAATGAAGTTATATTGTATGCGATTTTTGAAACGATTTTATCTGTTCAACAAAGACGATATTTTATTCATGAACCATAACCAATTTGATTTCATTGCATTATTTATTTTGTATTTTTAAATTGATGCATTTCAGCAAAAACTTAAGATTATCTAAAAGTTACTTTTTATATTAATTATTGTAAACTTAAATTTAAGTAGACATTTTTGATCCTAACGGTAAGTATAACATAATATTTTTTTCATATTTTAAAAGTGTGTTTTTGCAAATAATAGGGTTTAATAAATTGATGGTCTACTATTTATTTTTATCATTAATCTAGGAGAAATAAAAACATTTTATACTGTTTTTTTTTTTTTTTTAATGCTGATCGCCGTCAAGAAGATGCTTAGCAATAAATTGTAAATATTCAAATCGTCCCTATAGTATGTGAATATATTAATTTGATTTTATGATTTGTTTTTATGTCTARAATTCGTTTACTTACAGTTAATTTTCACAGTATTTTAACTGTCAAGTATCCAGTGTTTAAACTTAATTATTCCGATTTATTATTGTCCAAAGGGTAATTAAACGAAACGGTCTGAATCCAATTAGATTTAATTTCCAAAATTTAACTGTGTACATTTTTATATGCACTTTATTAACGTGCTATAATTTGAAATTGTTTACTATCGCATACTGTATTTTATTAGGAAATCYATGGTTTTTGTTTAATTAATGTGATAATTATCCATACACCTATATTCTATTGATTAATATTTATAGAAAATTTTAATCACTATAAATATTATAAATCATATACTGTTAGAAGCAATACTTATTTTTTATCGTATTATTTATMAGTTTCACGTGGATATATATAGACGCAGATGATAAAAAAAAGAATACCATTTTTAATTAAAATTTTGTTCACAATTTATTTTATCGTRTACAGTCATTTTTGTCCCCATTTTTTTTATCAATTATTTTGATACGTATAAATTATTTTTTATTTGTTTTCGAACAAAATATTATTTATAAGTTAAAAATTCGAAGTCAAATGTAAGATATTTACTGCGGTTGGGAATTGTTTTTTATTGATGTTATAATTATGTTAGTTATATGAATTTCAAGATAGGTACCTACAAACACAAAAACAATAAATCTAGGTATAATTTCTGTACATCATGTGTATATAACGAGCGAGAGAGAGAAGATCGCTTGCATGTGTATTCTGATAATTACAATATTATTGGAAAAGCGATGATGATAACAACTCGAATTCACCTTCCCTGAATTATTGGATTTATACAACACGTATAATAATATATATATATTACATAATATACATTATGTAGAGAATAACAAAAAAGGTGTATTTTGTAAAACGTATATTACGCTCGTTATGTCCGACCAGGCGCACAAATTTTGTTTCTATGGTTACTTGCGATCCTTATGGGTACCCGTGTTGACTTTATACAAAGTATATAATATAATATTTTTTGATGTCATTTATGGCATACACTTATATCATATGATTACCAACCTATTTGGATAGTGTTGCAAATTCATAAATGGGGTCTACATTTTAATACAAAATGTATTCATTTTATATTTATATATTATGTATATCAACCTAGAACTATAAGACAACGCATACCAAGTACAATGATTACATTTTTTCAAGGCAGAGAATTTTATGTTGAAACGTATGTTATCCATTTTCATTACTTAGAGCTGATACTCGTTATCATCTTCGTACACAATATTACAATATTTTTTTTATTATTATTATTATTATTATTGAACAATTCGCTTCAATAACAATAGTTATTCGTGTATTTTTTTTCTAATTACAATTATTTATATTTCTTTAAATATATTACTTTATTTTAGTTTATGTAATTCTATATGATGTATTGAAAAATATGTTATTAATTTGTTGATTGCTTCTATTTGAGGTCCAAAGATTTCGTAAAGGTTTTATGGTAAATTATTTTAATATTACTAAGTTTTAATATCTGAGACAATCTGTTAAAATGTGTTTCAGTTTCATAGTGATTTGAGTTTCACATGACKTGATACATATTGGAGGGTTCTCTTGGCCATTTAGAACCGTGGACTAGCTTTGTGTTGTCTATTCTTAGCCTGTTTCACAAATTTATCTCTCCYATATGTATTATTTGTGGATCACTTGTCTGTTGTTCTTGTGATTTCACTAAGTTTATATTATTTTTTTTATTGATCTTATATTTACGTCAGCAGTAGCAGTCATTACTCATTATTTATCATATTGATTACAATTTTTTTCTAATGAATAAAGTTTCTAAAATTATTTCATTTAACTTAAACTGTACAATTAAGATTTTCTTAAATATATTAAAACTTGATTGGTAGTGTTTGCGTTCTGCCCAACGCCCAAGTGTTGTACTAGTTTATCTGTTTACAGAAGGCATTCTGTAAAAATATGGTTGATATAAATTTTAGTACCGTATATAGTGCACATTGATTTTTATTCAATTGGCATGAGGTATGTGCTAAATGTGTATTCAATACCTATTGTTTTTTTCTCATCCGTTTGTCGGGGAATTAAAATTTTTTTTTTAATTTGGTGTTCTTATTGAGTCGGTGGGTTTTCCTTTTGATTTGGATGAGTTTTTGAATTTGGTTTTTACGTCTGCAACAAATAGTAATAATTAATTTAGGGAATCTATGGATTCTACTGCATTCTTAGCTTTTTCTTTTCTATATTTTGTCCCATTCTAATGTATGAATATTTTTTATTTCAATATTTATTTATTAATATTTACGACAGGACTGTACAGTGACTAAGTACCACCCAATAAAAATAAAATGGTAATGAAATTTAATGGGATTATAAAATATAAATTATTATAGGCAATTATTATAAACTAATCTAATGATATACGCAATGTTTCAATTTATATATTATTTAATTCTCTTTATACATTCTTAAATTTCCATCTATAAATCTAACTGGTATGTTATAAAAACGAGATAGCTTTATTATTTTTTTAATCATTGAAAATACAATAAGCTATTCAGAGAGCAACTTTGTAAAAATAGCACTTTCTGATGTTTTTTTTATATAAATAAATATAGTTGTCTATATATTGTTTTATTTACAATTTAAAATACTTGATGAGAAAATAAATTATTGGCTCCAAGTACTATAATTATTGWATCTTGATTCCCTATCTTCAAAGGCACTATTTTAAATTTGTTGAACCCTCCGTTTGCCTATTATGATGTTTTGAGAAAAGGCATTCATATTAAAATACAACAATAATCAAAATGAAAAGAGCATGATATAAGGCTTTTTATAATTTAAAACCAATATAATCTGTATAATATATATATATATATATATATATTGTATATTATATACATAATATTATTATTACTTCATTAAATTAAAAATTAATCATTTCAAAACAAGACTGATATCTTTATCCATTAGTGTCTGTTAAACGGTTATTGTTGTTTTCGGCTAAATAATAATCAATTATTATAAAATTTACTACATCAAGTTTATATGATCATTAATTTAAAAAAAAAAATTTAAATACATAAATTTATGCTTAAAAAGTATTCAATATTTACATCAATAGTTCACTGAGCATATATAAATATCAACAAATATCAACACTTGATAAAAACTCATTGTTTAAGAAATTTTGATATCATAAGCGTACATTTAACAGCTGGTATAAGAACACCACTATTTTTAAGTATATTAATTTTAATCACATTTTAAGAAATAACTCAATGCAAATCTGTGGTTTTTTTTAGAGTATAATAAGTTTCTTGCCCTTATCAATACCMYSATTCTTTGTAGGTGCTGGATCAATGAGTCACCGTTCACGGAGGTGCTGGTGGTGCCCGTGTGCATGTCAATGGCTCTTAATCTGGTGTTCCTGTGCAATATTGTCAGAGTTCTGTGGGTGAAGCTTCAGGCCGGTCCGTCTCATCTCTCTAATAGCACGCCATCACGAACGCTGCTGCAGGCGTTCAGAGCCACACTTTTGCTGCTGCCGCTACTTGGACTCCATTATCTGCTCACACCGTTCCGGCCACCCAAACAACATCCCTGGGAACCGTTTTACGAAGTCGTATCCGCCACCACGTCATCATTCCAAGTGAGTGTGTTAACGATACATTTTGGCTTAGTTACCGTAGTAAAAACTTGAAAACTTAAAAAAAAAACTTTAAGTTTTATCCAGTTAAATTTAGATCTATTTTTTCACATGATTTTGCCGAGTCAATTATACGCAATGTATTTGTACAAAGCTAACACAAAATTATCTACATTTAATAACAGATTCATTGAAATTTTGTCTAAAAAGATTATTTAATATTAATATTAATACGGAATAGGCTTGATCTTTTTCTTATGTWCTTCAAGTTCAACATTAACGTTAACGAAACTAGYTAAATTAGTAAAATAAATATTTGAACGAAATATGACGATTTTTATCATTACTCGTATTTTATAAAATATTTTTCATGCAGSATCGAAACTTTTAAGTACATATGTCATTCTATTTAATAGTGATATGTATTCTCAAAACATTTAGATCAATTTTATGCTATAAACTACGTTCATAGTTTTTACCGTATAGAATATGTAATATTAAGGTATAATATATGATAATAGCCTGACAGTTCGTTATTTATATGCAATGATTTTTTATTTAATTCGAATTTAACACATGCATCCATTACTATAACCTAGCAAATGGCCCAACGACAAGATACATTCGAACTCTACTGTACAATAGAGTAGTTACTTACTTTCCCCTTATTTTTATAATTTTGAAGAAAAAAAAATGTATTTGTCGTTTTCAAGTTCAACCTACTATGTATGGAAAAGGTTATGTACAAGATAGTATCAATRAACATGACATATATGGACTTATTGTTACGATAMAATACATTTTATACAAGTTATCTGTTAGTTGATAATGTTATTTTAATAATTTTTGTGCATACAAATTCCAACAGAAGATAAATGTACATTGTGATATTAAAATATTATTATGATGTACTACCTAGACAATAGTCATTATTATATGTTATTTTCTTATAAAACAATGATAATAGTACAGAAAAAAATACACTTTATTATTATAATAATATCGTGACTATAGCTACTTAAAAAATATGGCATTTCGTCTATAATAGTAAAATATTTATGGATAGGTAGAATAATTATTAAGATAAAACCTTTATAATGCTCATGGTTCATGGAAGTCTTTCAAATTACACTACTGACTTAGTGAAGCATTCTATAAAAACAATGTAAGTAAATATGAGTTTATGAGAGCGGAAAAATATCCATAAAAATTATTATTTTTTACAGAAAACATTAATTTGAGTTGTAAAAAAAAATATAAACCCGACAAGATGCAAATCTGAACTGAAAATACAAAAATTTACAAACAAAATATAATTTGTATATTATATTATTGCCGGAAGCATCTTGCAAAAAGTAAATTTTAAATCTCTCTAAACACCTATTTAGAGGTCATAAAAATATTAAAGGTGAAATAATAACATAAAGGTGTAAAAATATGAATGTTAGAGGTTTTTTGAAACAATAACTATTTGTAATGTTTATTGTGTTAAAAGTTGTACTCAACAAAATCCATTTATAGCGTCTGATATCTGTCCAAACAACTGTATGTATTATAATTYCGAGAACCATATTAGATACTGGTAATTATAACAAAATATAACTATTTATTTTCTATA